ATCTTTCAAACTTAATGGAGAAAAGAGATACTTCCATGACAAAGGACACTTGAGGAAATTTATGACCACCAAACCAGCACTCCAAAATACTCCAAAAAATATTTTTAAAAAAGATAATGAAGACAACTCTGTGAACCCCAACGGAACAAATCCACCAGGAAAGGCAACCAATTAAAAACAAAGGGGAAAAAGGGGGAATAAACAATAGGGAAAGTAACATGACAAGCATAAGTCAACACATCAGTTATAGCCATTAATGTTAATGGTCTCAACTCACCAATCAAAAGAAACAAACTGGCAGAATGGATCAAGTAACAAGATCCACAAATACGATGCATACAAGAAACACATTTAATTCAAAAAGAAATTCACAGACTAAAAGCCAAAGTCTGGAAAACAATATTCCATGCGACAGGAAACAACAGGGGCAGCTAACTTTTTTGTAGACAAAGTGCATTTCAAGCCAAGACTGATTAAGAGAGACAAAGAACATTACTATATCCTTGTAAATGGTACAATCCAAGAGGAAGAGATAAAAATCATAAATATACATATACCAAACACCAGTGCACACAACTGCATAAAACACATCTCAATGGACAAAGGAAATCAAACAAGCACTAGTACAATTGTAATGGGGAACCTCAATACCTCACTATCAAAAAATATATTAACTAGACAAAAAAATTCAACAAAGAAATATCAGAACTGAATCAAATTTTTGAACAAATGGATTTAATAGATGTCCACAGAGTACTGCATTCCACATCAGAATGTGTTCTCAGATACACATGGGACATTCCCCAAGAGACCACATACTAGCTCACAGAACATGCCTCAGTAAATCCAAAGAAACTGAAATCATCCCCTGCATATCCCTTGCAATGTAATTGGAAATCAATGGCAAACAAAACCGCAAGCACTTCATAAACTGGTGGAAATTAAACAGTACCCTCTTGAACAACCAATGGGGCACATATGAAATTAAAGAAGAAATCAGACAGTTCCTACAGTTAAATGATAATGCAAATATAACATACAGAACTTATGGAACACAGTAAAAGCATTCCGATAAGGAAAACTTATAGTGGTGAATTCCTGTATCAGAAAAACAGACCAAGCTCAAATAAACAATCTAATATTGAACTTTAAATTTCTGGAAAAAGAAGAACAAGTCAACACAAAGCTCATATGAAGGAGAAAATTATAAAGACCAGAGCAGAAATTAAAGCAATGGAGACAAAGAAAACAATACAAAGAATCAATGAATCTAAGAGTTCTCTGAAAGATTCAGTAAAATTGACAAACCATTAACCAACCTTATCAAAAAGAGAAAAGAAAAAAAGACACAAATCCAAGCAATAAGGAATAAACAGGGTAAAATCACAACAGATCTGCAGAAATCCAGATCTTCAACACCTACTTTAAGAACCTGTATATTAAAAGAATGTAAAGCAGAAAGACATAGACGGATTGCTAGATACATATGAATTATCAAAAATGAATCAAGAAAATATAGAAAATTTAAATAAACCAATATCAATCAATGAAATTGAAGATGTAATTTATAACCCACGAACAAAGAAAAGCCTAGGCCCTGACACATTCATTACTAAACTCTACAAGAAATTTAGAGAAGACCTAATGCTGCCACCTCTCAAACTTTTTAATGAAATTAAAAGAGCAGCAATACGTCTAAACTCATTCTTAGAAGCAAGAATTACCCTAATACCGGGGCTGGGGATTTAGCTCAGCGGCATAAGCGCCTGCCTTGCAAGCAGGCAGCCGTGAGTTCGATCCCTGGTACCAGTAAAAAGGAAAAAGACAAAAAAAAAAAAAAAAAAAAGAATTACCCTAATACCAAAATCAGAGAAGGATCCAACCAAGATGAGAACTACAGGTCAATCTCTCTGATGAAAATAGGCACAAAATCCTCAATAAGACACTGGCAAACAAAATGCAGCAAATCATCAAGAAGATTATACACCATGACTAAGTAGGATTCATCCCAGGGATGCAGGAAGAATTCAACATACGCAAATCAACAAATGTAAGATACCATAATACACAGCCAAGGACAAAAACTGTATGATCATTTCAACAGAAGAAGAAAAAGCATTTAATAAAGTCTAACACCTATTCATGTTAATATCCCAATAGAAAACTGGAATAGATGGTCTTTATCTCAATATAAAAGCCATCTATGACAAACCAACATTAAACTAAATAGACAAAAATTGAAAGTTTTCACTTTAAAATCAGGAACAAATGGGATCAATATGTATGACAAATATGTATAAAAAAATAAAAATAAAATAAAATCAGGAACAAGGTAAGGGTGCCCACTATCACCACTCCTATTCAATATAGTTCTGGAAACATTTAGCAAGAGCAACTAGACAAAAGAAAGTAACAGAATAAGGAAAAAATTAAATTATCTTTCATTGCAGATATATGATACTCTACATAGAAGACCCTAAAAACTCCACTACGAGACTTCTATATTTAATAACTAAACTCAGTAGTGTAGCTGGATACCCCGGAAAATCAGTAACAAATTCACTGAGAGAGAAATTAGGGAAACAACATCTTTCACAATCTCATCCAGAAAATGAAATACTTAGGAATCAATCTAAAGAAGAAAGTAAAAGACCTTTGCATTGAAAACTATAGTATTCTGAAAAAGGAAATCAGAGAGAGTATCAGAAAATGGGAAGATAGTCTTTGTTCTTGGGTAGGAAAAGCCAATACAGTAAAAATAGTCATACTTCCAAAATTGTTATATAGATTTATACAATCCTAATCAAAATTCCAATAGCATATCTCACAGAATTAGCGAGAACAAACCTAAAATTCATTTGGAACCAGAACTAGAAAAAGCAATTCTAAGCAACAAAGGCAAGGCAGGGAGCATCCTATTCAGTGACTTGAAATACTACTGTGATAAAAACAGCATGCTACTTGCAAAAAAACAAAATAACAATAACAATCAGACCTGAGGATCAATGGAACAGATCAGAAAATGGGAGAAAGAATGCCAGACATTCTAAGCCACCTTATCTTCAACAAAGGACCCAAACACCTTCACTGGATGAAAGATAAGATTCTTTAATAAATAGTGCTGGAAAAACTGGGTTTCCACATGCCTAACATTAAAACTAGACTCATATTTTCTGCCATGCACTAAAGTTGAAATAGATCTACGATCTAAATTTTAAAACAGGAACACTAAATCTACTGGAAGATAAAATACATAGAACTCTTGAAGATACTGGTATAGACAAAGAATTTATGAACAAAATCCCAATCACACATGAACTATCATAAGGAATCAACAACTGGGATCATATCTTATTAAAAAGCTTTTTACAGCAAAAGTAATCATCGACAGAGTAAAGAGACAGAGTGCAAAAAGAAAAAAAAATTGCCAGCTGTACCTCAAAGGAATAATATCTAGAATTTATGAAAAACTAAAAAAAAAAAAAAAAAAAAAAATCAGATCCCCAAAATTTAAAAATCTAATTCAAAAATGGGCAACTGAAGTGAATAGACACAGATGAAGGAGTAGAAATGGCAAATAAACATGAAAAAATCTTCGACATCACTGGTCCTTTGAGAGATACAAATTAAAACAACACTGAGATTTTATCTCACCCTAGAAAGAATGGCTATTATCAAGAAATCAACCAACAGGGGCTGGGGATTTAGCTCAGTGGCTAAAGCGCCTGCCTGGCAAGCAAGAAGTCATGAATTGGATCCCCTGCACCAAAAAAAAAAAAAAAAGCAAACAACAACAAATGCTGTAGGGTTGTAGGGAAAAAGGAACTCTACTATTAGTAGCAGTACAAACTGGTGGAAATCAGTGTGGAAATTCCTCAAAAAAACTAGGGGTTTCATTTGACCCAGCTATTCCACTTTCTGGTATCTTTCCAAAAGAATTCAAAGAGTCATACCACAGCAATACATGCACCCCATGCTTATAGCACCACCAAATCTTGCAAACAGCCCAAGTGTCCATCAACAATGAATGGATAAAGATGTGGTTTTTTTTAATGCAAGGGACTACTGCTCTGCCATAAACAAGGATAAGCTTGAACCATTTTTAAGTAAATAGATGTATCTTGAGATGATACTCTTTAAATGAAACAAACTGGACACACATGTTTAAATTTCACATGATTCCTCCAGTATAAGAAACCAAAAGCACTTTTGTTCAGAATGATTTTAGTCTGTTTTGTATTATTTAATTTCAACATACATGAAGGTATAGACAGCTGTTGTGAAGAAAACAAGAGATTACAGTACCCATTGCTGACTTTCCTATTGTCTGTCTGTAATACCTTCATTACTCTGTTCTGATCAGTTTTATACTATTTTGTTTTGTATGAATTCATTGTATGTGAAGATATAGGCAACTATTTAGAAAAAAACAAGAGACATTAAGGTAGCCACTGCAGATTTCCTATTATCTTGCTTTGAAATCTGTATCACTAACGTGGTTTTCTTTTCATCTGCTTTGTTGTTTTATGTTTTGTTTTACCCTCTTTAAAATTAAAAAAAAGAAACCAAAAGTATAAGTAAGAACCAAAATGTATAATACATGTTAGGAAATGGGAAGAAAATGTTCAAATGAGAAGGGGAACAAGGGAGGGAAGGGAGAAAGAAAAAGAGACAAGAGAAAAAACTGAGAAAGGGTTTGTAAATAAGAGGGGAAGAGAATGAAGGGCAGGGAGGGAAATGGGAAAAAAAGCAGCAGCAAGATATATACTGGTACAGACTCTATGATGAATGTTATCATTATGTATTCCTAAAGCGTACCTACAAAATAAAAAGAATACAAAGATAAATAAATTTAGATAACACAAAATTCATGGAGATGGCCTTGAAGGAAAAGACCTACAGGAGATGACAGAGTAAGCTACAGAGCTATGTGGGGAGACTAGTAGGGCCATATAAATCTCTCCAGTAAGTTCAGATAAGACAAAAATGCAACCCCTTACCTTTCAAAAGGGGCTGGAAGGTTGGGATCTCTTGCAACTTGATGACATCTGGATCATTGCTGACATTCCGTGAAGCTTGAGAGCCCTGAGCTACAACCACAATATCATCCATCTTGGCTCTATGCTTAGCTGGAGAAGGAGTCACTGAAAATAAAGTTTCTCTGGTGAGAAACTGTATCGTAGCTACACCTGCCTCAACAAAGCTGTTTTCTTTTCATTCAAAAGAATTTTTATTTTGTGGTCATAATGTGTGAAATTTTTTCTTTTAAAAAGAATATATACACACAAGAAAATGTTATTTTGCGATGTGGGCTGGGTAGATGAAATTATGGGAGGCTTTTATCTTCTGTGGTATTAAAAAACTCATTGTATTGGAACATCTAACTTATCTAAACTCTTTCATAACTATTTTCTATAATTCAGCACACAAAAGATACACAAACTGTGTTTCTCCTTTAATTTCCTGGATCTTCCCGACATATGTTCCCATTTTGCTAATGAGGAAATTAGGGTACAAAATTTGGCTGTGACTTGCCCTATATCAATGATGCTACAATTAGGGAAGGAATTGGAGGCCAATGGGTTGTTGATGCACGAAGCCTGTCTCTGTGACACTGGGGTTGCAAAGCTGTCTGTTTACCCTATCACAGTTGGCCAGATCATGGGCCTGGGAAAAGAACTCTGGTTTCAACTCTAGATGAGTTCATTTTTGAAGCCCCAGACCCCTCACTCTGAAAGTTACAGCATTACTCTAAGAACAGAAAAAAATGGGTCCATTCTAGGCTGAGGCAAAATTCAGAAATTTGGAGGATTGTTAGAGGCAGATCAATTTCGAATTCTTTGGAAGAATATAATCCATGTGGAAACAAGTAATTCATGCCATAAAAGATTTCCTAGATCAAGACATCTTCCTCCCCAAATATCCTTTGGGTTTAGGGCAACAATGAATCCTTGGTGTTTTATACTCTAAAACCGTAGTGTTGAGCCTATGGTGGCACACTCCCTATATCACTGAAAGCTCTAAAAGGTGCGCCATCACTGCTCTACAAAGCAGTAATCTCAGTTTCATTGCAGTCACATCCAGAGAAGCCACAGAACAATTATGCCTTCTGAAAGCTGGTTTCCTGAGGCTTTGACTCATTGACTCTTTTAGAAAAATTTCTGCTACTGCCACTATATGTCAGAAATCTTTCCTGCTACAAATTGTAATTTTTCTTTTCCCCAACACTGGAATAAAAGAGACTTCACTACACTGTGACTAGCCTCAATTATCTTACCCAAAAGTGAAGGTATATGATGATTAAATATAAATACCCATATGCAAAGCACTTGGCACACAGTAACAGGCAAATCCTAACACCTGACACAAGCCTATGCTGTTGGTTTACAGTCAAGTAAACATGAAAAAAAACCCATGTTCCTTGCCTCAAATCATATATGCTTCTAGCCATATAAATAGGGAAAAAATAAGAGGTAGCTATTACTATTTTTGTTATAAAACATTTATTATTATGGGCCTTTCAATGAAACGGGAGAATGTAGCTAGGATAGCTGATGCTCCTCACCATTAAAAGGTTATCAATCTAGCCCTAGAACGGTCTGAAACTCGTCTCTTGAAGGATACTCTTCCGTGTGACTTACCCCTAGATCTGTTAACTTCCACATTTCTGAACACCTAATTCTACCAACAGAGCAGTACTACGACCAGGGGTTCTTTCTTTCTTTCTTTTTGGACAAAATATCATTATGTAGTTCTAGCTGGTTTTGAATTCACTATAGAACCTGGACTGGGCTCAAACTCGCAGCAAGCCTCCTGCCTCTGCCTCTCCAGTGTTGAGATTATAGGTGTGCACCACCACGCCCGGCTGCCCAGGATTTCTTTCTAAAACTTGATTTAACTGAAGGCAAATTCTTCCCAGCAAAGAGCGGTTCTAAGACCAGGACTCTTTCAGACCTCAGATTTAACCAATTTGGATTATGCAGGGCACTCTGGACTGTCCTAGAAGTGGGTAACAAAAGAAGCAAATAACCCCCAAACCCCAGCTGTTTCACTAAGCATTAAACTGTATTTTCAGAGCAATAACCCTCCCATTTTCTGAAATGCGTAGAGCAATCCAAAAATAAATGGATGAGGAGAAAAGAAGAAAACTCCAGAGCATGCCACCTGGCCAAACTGCACTTAAAACTTGCCCATGACACCTGAGGGGGAAAAAGTAATTTCTGGAAACATTTGCATTCAAATATTGACTGCTTTACAGCAAACACATCCTCTTAAAACCCATTTTAAAGAAAGCTCTACAGGCCCTGTCTATAAGCCATCTACTGTGTCAGACAAATCTCAGTACTTCAGTCACGATTAGCGAGCCAAAAATTGTCTTTCACAGATGAAGACCGCAGAGGGGAAAAACGGCTGTTTTGAGAACCAATAATGAACTGAGCGTGAGCGCCCACCGTGGCTTAGGAAAACAAAGGTCTGGATACTGTTTTTTATTAAGAAGCACAGGGAGGGTTTCTGTAGGTTGCAGCCGGCCGTCCCTGACCCCGCCAGGCCAGGAGGCAGCCTGCTCCCCAAGCAGACGGGCTGGAGGAGGTTGGGAGATTAGGACACCGACCTGAGGAGTTCAGATCGTTGGGTCGGCTCTCGGCCTCGGAGCTCTGCTCACTGCCCATGGTGCCGGCAGCGGTGGCAGCGATGGTAGCGGAAGAACGGCAGACCGGGCGGTCACCGCTCCGGTGGCAGGGCGACAGGGTAGGGGCCGGGAACCCGCCTGGAGAGGATAAACCGTGTGCGCGCCCCGGTGAATTAATGTGGGGGGGGGGGGGGCGCCAGCCCAAGCCGGGCTTCGGGCAGCGGGGAAGGGGGAGGCCCTATGTGGGGAACACACACACAACGAAGCGCAGCGTAGCAGCACACTGCTCGCCCTCCTTCCTTCAGAAAGCCCTAAAGAATAGGTAGGGGCACCGGTTTAGCCGCATTTGCAGCCACCGGGCGGCGCCGATTTCACTCACTGGCTCAAACACAAGTTGCTCCTTCCGGGACGTACACTGGCGTCGGCGTCGACGTGTGACGTCAATTCCGGGTTAGGACCAGCCCCGCCCCCTGCTTGAGGGAGGAGTGAGGAGAATAGATCCTAAAATAATGGTGAAGCCACTTTAAGAGACCAGACCACTTCAAAACCGTAACTACCTAGGAGAAACCGTTTCTTATTGTAATAATGCATGACCTTTTAAGTACCACCTATATGGTGAGAACTGTGATACAAACATAACAACTTTATAAAATGGATTTTGTGGGGCTGGGGATTTAGCTCAGTGTCATAAGGGCCTGCCTTGCAAGCAGGCAGTCGTGAGTTCGATCCCTGGTACCGATAAAAACGAAAAAGACAAAAAAAATGGATTTTGTAACTCCGTTTTACAGATGAAAAAGTGTCGAATAGACCAGGAATTCGAAGCTGCAACTTTCTGGATGCAAACCTCATTTGCATCTGAACGCTGGGAATTCGGCAGTGAATACCTATACAAAAATGCTAGGAGACTATGAAGGAAGGGACTGAAAATGACTGAAATACAACAATCCAGAGGCCAATAGATAATTTCCCCAAGGAGAAGAGGGGGTAAGTAGTGAAACTACTTACAATTGTCTGATTTCAAAGTAGGTAGTCTTTCCTGTGCTTATCATTGCAATACAATACGAAATATGCACGTAGGGGAAGTTCAGTGTTCTGTGGAGATACAAAAATAACCTACCAGGGGCTGGGGATTTGGCTTAGCGGCGTAAGCACCTGCCTTGCAAGCAGGTAGTCGTGAGTTCGATCCCTGGTACCGATAAAAAGGAAAACGACAAAAAAAAAAAAAAAAAAAAAAAGAACCCACCTAAATATGAAGGTATTGTAACTAAAAACCAACGGAGAGATCAAAGTTGACTTTCTAGAAGGTGATGTTTGACTATATTTTGAGCCTTGCATAACCTACCAAGCTGTTAGAACTGAGAAAAGCCACTCCCTTGCAGAAGGGCCTTGGCTGGCCTCCCAGATCTTTCCTCTTAGGGGTGAAGAGAAGTAAAAGAGGAATGAGGTAGAGAAAACTCATTCTGGTTCTTGTCTCCCCCGCTTCCACGTTAAAGAATGTTTGTCTTGTACTCCATCCTGAATCTGTACTGATGTGATTGTGCTTTTTATGCTTTTTTTTTTTTGAATGAGTATTTCATTCTAAAAGGAAGTTTCTGTTATGGCTTGTTTGTAGAGGTCCCCCCAAAGCCTGACGCAGTCATAGGTGGAGCTTTTTCAAAGGTGGCTGGGTCTACAGTGTGTAAAGCTGGGATTGATACATGGTGCGATGATATGATAAAGGATACTTTATCATGTGATTAACTAAATCACTCCACTGATTGGTTGGTCACCACTTTAATCCTGGTAGACTGGGTACAGTATAAGGAACAAAAAGAGGCTTGTTTTGGCCATTGCTTGCTTTGCTACCTTCTGCCTGCCATGAACTATTTCTCTTGTATGATGCCTGTCTGCCATACTAACCTGCCTTGGAGCCAGCCAATGATGGGCTGAAACCTCTATAAATTGTTAGTTAAATAAAGCTTTCTTCCTTTAACTTTGGGTGTCAAGTATTTTGTCTCAACTAAGACCCTAGCCCATCAGCTGAGGAATGCATAAATAAAATGTGGTTTATCTGTACAATGGAATATCATTTGGCCAAAGGGAGATAAACTGCTAATAAGTGGTATAAACCATGGGTAAAACTTGAAAACATGATGCTGATTTAAAGGGCAGAACACATAAAAATATGTGTCTAGAAGAGACATTACAGATGTAGAAATAGATTAGTGGTTTCTCAAAACTGAGCTAGAAGAGAAAGAATGATGACTAATAGATTGTGGGGTTTCTTTCTAGGGTTGATGAAAATATTCTAAAATTGGTCTTGGTGATCATTGCATAATTCTGAATATATCAAAAACCACTGAAGTGTACACTCTGACTGGGTGAATTGTATGGTGTGTAAATTATAGCTCCATAAAGGATTCAGAAAAAAGATATCTGAAAATAAAATGCCCTCATTCACTAACTTAACATTTCCTGGGAGCCTATAATGTGCCAGGCATTTGTTAAAGATTAAGGATAAAAGATCCAGCAAGACCTAGTCCCTGTCCATAGAAAGCTTACAGTCTGGTGGCAAGAAAGATGAAATGAGTATTCATAATATAAGGATGCTACTGGAGGAGTTCTCAAGGTAGGAATCATTTGGGATTGATGTCTTTTAGCACCTTTAAAATCACTTTCACAACCGTGGTCATGAGTTACACCTATAATCCCAGCCGTCTGGGAAATTGAGGTAGGAGGAGCTCAAATTTAAACCCAACCTGCACACATTAAAAAAATCTTTTTTCCTTTTAAAGAGTTCATGATGTAGCCCAGTGCAAAACTTCTGGGTTCAATCCCCAACAACACGAGAAAAAAATCACTTTTGCCTGGGCAGCTGTGTTTTTGGTGGGACTCTCATCTCTCCAGTTTCCCAAGCTAGAAATCCACTTTCCCTTGAACAGAAAGCCTCTGACCTTACCTCCTTCAGTTATCCTGCGTGTGGCAGGTAGAGAATTTTTCCAGAATGTTAATGAATATTTTCTGATGAACATTCTCTATCCCTCTGTGGACAAAGGCAACCTTTGTGCCAAGTGGGCTGAATCCCCTGAATGTTCACATCCTATCCTGTTGGGAATATTCCCTTCCCATCTAGCCAGCTGAACTCCATGCTTTAAAATTTAACGTATCTACCTCTCTGAGTTTCCTTAGCTGGCAGCTTCTATCATGACATTCATTCTTTATACACCTATTAATCTACTTGTCTGTCTCCCCCACTGAAATAGAATCATCTTGAAGGTAGATCCCATGTGTTATTGGTCTTTAATTTCCACTGCAATTGCTTAATACATATTTTCAGAATTTTTTTAAAATGTACCTCCATATAAATAGGACTTGTCTCATAAGAGGATTAAGAATCTCTTCAGGCAGCAAGGTGACACTGGACATGATTTCTAATTTAAATATCTATTTCATATCAATACAAAGTCTCCCTTATTATTTTTATCAGTGCCCTTTGTTCACTTTTGGAACTGAAAAAAAAATAATGTATCATTTCAACAATAACAAGTACATTGTATCAAAACACAAAATCTAAAATTTCTAATAAGGGAAAAGTCTTCCTAGCGCCTAGCATGAGTCCTTCAAGCCTCTACACTAAATACCTCATCTGCGGAGGTAAAGTGTACATATACATCAGTCTCTTGTTGCATTCAGAAAAATCACCATGGAACCTACTTTTCTGTAGTAATTTTTTTTTTAAGTACTAGAGATTGAATCCAGTGTGCTCATTCATTATTTAAGACTGGCCTCAAATTTATAACCCTCTGTCTCAGCCTCCAAAGTGGCTGGGATCACAAAGGTACACCTCTGCATGCAGCCACATGGATAGCTCTGTAAAACCAAGTTTTAGGGCCAGGGATTTAGTGGCTTAAGTGCCTGCTTAGCAAATATGAAATAGTGAGCTCCATCCCCAGTACCAAAAAAAAAAAAAAAAACAGATATGGCAAGACTATTATAACTGAAGAATAGGTCATCCCCTGACTACAACTAGTAGCTGAGTTTCTCCCAACAGGCCATTGTTCATGAGTTTTTTCTGACAACATATACCTCTAGTAGCAATTGGGTAAAGTCAGGTATATAAGCCTAGAATAGTCATCTTCAATGCACAGTGATTCAGGTTTGAAAACTTTCACACCGGGGTTCCTGGGGCACCTCGGCCCGTACCCAGCCGCGCCTGGCCGTCGGTGTGCGGAGGAGGAGCTGCGCGGATCCGGAGCCGCCTGCAGAGGCCCCGTCCTTTGTCTGGAGGAGGAGGGGTCCCGGGTTCCTGGGGCACCTCGCCCCGTACCCAGCCGCGCCTGGCCGTCGGTGTGCGGAGGAGGAGCTGCGCGGATCCGGAGCCGCCTGCAGAGGCCCCGTCCTTTGTCTGGAGGAGGAGGGGTCCCTGGTTCCTGGGGCACCTCGGCCCGTACCCAGCCGCGCCTGGCCGTCGGTGTGCGGAGGAGGAGCTGCGCGGATCCGGAGCCGCCTGCAGAGGCCCCTTCCTTTGTCTGGAGGAGGAGGGGTCCCGGGTTCCTGGGGCACCTCGGCCTGTACCCAGCCGCGCCTGGCCGTCGGTGTGCGGAGGAGGAGCTGCGCGGATCCGGAGCTGCCTGCAGAGGCCCCTTCCTTTGTCTGGAGGAGGAGGGGTCCCGGGTTCCTGAGGCACCTCGGCCTGAGCCCAGCCACGCATAGCCATCTGCGTGCAGAGGAGGAGCGGGGTAGATCCGGAGTGCCCGCAGGAGGCCCTTCCTTTGTCTGGAGGTTTGTGGATATCTCTGCAAGCAGGGAGGGATCACAGGCTCCTGAGGCACTGCGGTCTGTGGTGAGTACCCTAACCCCGCTGCGATCCAAGAGCTGTGGATCTACCAAGGGGCAGGTGGGCGCACAGTGTCCCTGAGGCCCAGCTTGTCTGGAACCGCGGAGTTCTGAACAAGCAGAGAAGGGCCATTGGTTCTGCAGGCCCAATGGCCTGGGGTAGAGTGGTGCCAGAGTCTCAGTAGCTGCAAACATAGAAGGGGATTTTCAACAGATCCTGAGGAGGCTTTCAAATAACACTTGAAACACAGAAATATAGGAAAATGACAAAACGAAAGACCAAATTACAACCTCAAACCTCCAGCCCATCTCAGGAAACCCTAGGAGAAGTGTATTTAGAAGAAAATATATCCCATCCTCCTCATATATTAGACACAATAGCTACTGAAGTTGACAAACAACTCCAGGAAGCTTTAAAGAAATTCAAACTCGAAATAATTTCCCAGATAAAAGAAGAAATGATAAAAGAAATGAAAGAGATTCTAAATATATCTAAAGAAAACACAGATAAAAAATTGGAGGAATTAAACAAAAAGATAGAATCCCTAGACGAGCAATATAAGAAACAAACAGAATACATAATGCAGATGCACAGAGATATACAGGAAATAAAAAACTCCACTGAAAGTTGTAAAAACCGCCTTAATGAAAGTGAAGATAGAATTTCAGACCTTGAAGACAGGATTGCAGCAAGTGAACAGGAAAGGAAAGATCTTTTAAAAATAACAAGGAATCAGGAAACAACAATTCAACAAGTGCAAGATGATGCAAAGAAGAATAACATAAGAATGATAGGGATTAATGAAAAAGAAGGAGACAACATAAAGGATATCAAGAGGATATTTAGAGAAGCAATAGCTGAAAACTTCCCAAGCATGAGATCAGAAACTGACATCAGGATCAGTGAAGCATATAGAACTCCAAATAGTCATAACCAAAATAAAACTACACCCAGACATATAATAATCACCATCCCAGAAATCCAACACAAGAATAGATTATTAAAAGCTGTCAGAGAGAAAAGACAGATCACTTATAAAGGAAAACCTATCAGAATCACAGCAGACTTCTCATCACAAACAATAAAGTCAAGAAGAGCATGGAGTGAAGTATTCCAGATCCTAAAGCAAAATGATTTCCAACCTAGACTGATATATCCTGCAAAACTA